TTGGCCATTTTGAATCAGACAACCATATGGTCTACTACGCTGGGAATGACAACTTGAAGAGGAATGGTGTTGCATTCATTGTCAAAAACAACATTTCAAGATCTATCCTGAAGTGCAGTGCTGTCAGTGATAGGATAATATCCATACGCCTACAATGAAGACCAGTTAATACGACTATTATTCAAATTTATGCACCAACAGCTAAGGCCAAAGATGAAGAAACTGAAGATTTTTACCAACTTATTCAGTCTGAAATTGATCAAACATGCAATCAGGATGCTTTGATAATTACTGGTGATGGGAATGTGAAAGTTGGAAACAAAGAAGAAGGATAGGTAGTTGGAAAATATGGCCTTGGTGATAGAAATGATGCCAGAGATTGCGTGATAGAATTTTGCAAGACCAATGAATTCTTGACTGCAAATACCTTTTTTCACCGACATAAATGGCGACTATACTCATGGACCTCGCCAGATGGAATACACAAGAATCAAATCTACTACATCTGTGGAAAGAGATGATGGAAAAGCTCAATATCATCAGTCAGAACAAGGCCAGGGGCTGACTACAGAACAGACCATCAATTGCTCATTAGCAAGTTCAAGTTGAAACTGAAGAAAATTAGAATAAGTCCATGAGAGCCAAAGTACAACCTTGAGTATATCCCGCCTGAACTGAGAAACTATCTCGAGAATAGATTTGATGCGTTGAATACTAATGACCGAAGACCAGACGAGTAGTGAAATGAGATCAAGGACAGCATACATGAAGAAAGCAAGAGATCATTAAAAAGACAGGAAAGAAAGAAAAGACCAAAATGGATGTCAGAAGAGACTCTGAAACTTGCTTTTGAATGTCGAGTAGCTAAAGCAAAAGGAAGAGATGATGAAGTAAAAGAAGTGAACAGAAGATTTCAAAGGGCATTTCAGGAAGACAAAGTAAAGTATAATGACATGTGCAAAGAGCTGGAGATAGAAAACCAAAGGGGAAGAACATGCTCGGCATTCCTCAAGCTGAAAGAACTGAAGAAAAAATTCAAACCTCAAGTCGCAATAGTGAAGGATTCTACAGGGAAAATATTAAACGATCCAGGAAGCATCAAAAGAAGATGGAAGGAATACACGGAGTCATTATACCAAAAAGAATGGGTCAACGTTCAACCATTTCAAGAGGTAGCATATGATCAGGAACCAATGGTACCGAAGGAAGAAGTCCAAGCTGCACTGAAGGCATTGGTGAAAAACAAGGCTTCAGGAATTGACGGACTCTCAACTGAGTTGTTTCAACAAACGGATGCAGCCAGGGCTGGACGTGCTGACCCTTCTACGCCAAGAAATTTGGACGACAGCTACCTGGCCAACCAACTGGAAGAGATCCATATTTATGCCTATTCCCAAGAAAGGCGATCCAACTGAATGTGGAAATTATCGAACAATATCATTAATATCACATGCAAGTAAAATTTTGCTGAAGATCATTCAAAAGTGGCTGCAGCAGTATATCGACGGGGAACTGCCAGAAATTCAGGCCAGATTCAGAAGACGACATGGAACCAGGGACATCATTGCTGATGTCAGATGGATCCTGGCTGAAAGCAGATAATACCAGAAATATGTTTACCTGTGTTTTGTTGACTATGCAAAGACATTCAACTGTGTGGATCATAACAAATTATGGATAACATTGCAAAGAATGGGAATTCCAGAACACTTCATTGTGCTCATGCGGAACCTGTATATAGATCAAGAGGCAGTCGTTCAAACAGAACAAGGGGATATTGCATGGTTTAAAATCAGGAAAGGTGTGTGTCAGAGTTGCATCCTTTCGCCATACCTATTCAATCTGTCTGCTGAGCGAATAATCTGAGAAGCTGGACTATACAAAGAAGAAAGGGGCATCAGGATTAGAGGAAGACTCATTGACAAGCTGCAATATGCAGATGATACAACCTTGCTTGCTGAAAGTGAAGAGGACTTGAAGCACTTACTGATGAAGATCAAAGACCACAGCCTTCAGTATGGATTACATGTCAACATGAGGAAAATAAAAATCATCACAACTGGACCAACAAGCAACATCATGATAAACAGAGAAAAGATTGACATTGTAAAGGATTTCGTTTTACTTGGGTCCACAATCAACACCCATAGAAGCAGCAGTCAGGAAATCAAAAGACGCGTTGCATTGGGCAAATCTGCTGTAAAAGACCTCTTCAACATGTTGAAAAGCAAAGATGTCACCTTGAAGACTGAGGTGTGCCTGACCCAAGCCATGGTATTTTCAATCACATCATATGCATGTGAAAGCTGGACAATGAATAAGGAAGACTGAAGAAGAATTGACGCCTTTGAATTGTGGTGTTGGCAAAGAATATTGAATATACCATGGACTGCCAAAGGAACAAACAAATCCGTCCTGAAAGAAATACAACCAGAATGTTCCTTAGAAGGAAGGATGGCGAGACTATGTCTTACATACTTTGGACATGTTGTCAGGAGGGATCAGTCCCTGGAGATGGACATCATACTTGGCAAAGTACAGGGTCAGCAAAAAAGAGGAAGACCCTCATCAAGATGGATTGACAAAGCAGCTACAACAATGGGCTCAAGCATAACAACGATTGTGAGCATGGCGTAGGACTGTGTAGTGTTTTGTTTGGTTGTACATAGGGTTGCTATGAGTCAGAACCTACCTGAGAACACCTAACAATAACAACAGCATACAGATATATGGTAATATATATGTGTATGTGTGTGTTTGTGTGTGTCTGTGTGTGCGTCTGAGTATGTATGTACATATCTGAAATAGTACTCATAATAAAAACTTCTAGCAAACTAGGAATAGAACGTCTCTTAAACTGGGAAGAAGGCAAGAATACCCAATCTCACCACTTCTCTTCGATATCATACCAGAAGTCTTAGCCAGTGCAATAACATGAGAAAAAGAAATAAATTCATCCAGGTTGGAAGTGAAAAGAGAAATCTGTATTTGCCAGTGGATATACCATTGTCTACATAGAAAATCCCAAGAAATCTACCCCAAAACCCCCCAAAACTTGTTAGAATTAATAAGTGAATTCAACAAAGTAGTATTGTTCATTGCGAACACATGAAAATCAATTCTATATCTATATGCCAGCAATGTATAATTGGAAACCAAAATGTTAAAACACTATCATTTTAAATGTTCCAAAAAATGTAATACTTAGATATATATGTCACAAAACATGTATATGATATGTATGCTAAAAATACTAAATTTTGAGTATCAAGATGATCTAAATAAATGGAAAAGCATTACATTAATGAATTGGAAGACTCAACATAGGGAAGATACCAATTCTTGCCAAAGTGAATGGCAAATACGTACATGAAAAGGTGTTTAATTCACTCACTTTTAGAGTAATGCAAGTTACAACCATCATGATATACCACTACAAACTTACCGTATTTTTACTCAAATAACACGTTTGCCAACTGTGGCCTCCCCTCTGCGAGAGATTTTTGTAAGTGTGCTATGCTAATTTTTTTTTTTTTAACAGCAGCATGTAAAAAAAAAAACTGACATAAGGTATTGAAAATACCTTATGGGCGGAGAGCGCAGTTGGCAAACAAATGTAGAAGTTGTGCGTTATTTGTGTAAAAATACTGTATTTGAATTACTAAATTTAAAAAATGCTAACAATACTATGTGCTGATGAGGATGTGAACACAACTCGATCTCTCGTACACTGTTGATGGGAACGAAAAATGGTGCAGTCCGTCTTGGTAACCTGTTTGGCAGTTCATTATAAAGTTAAACACAGAATTAACACGTTGTTGTTATTTATTGCTGTCCAGTTGGCTCCGACTCATGACGACTTTATTTATACGGAATGAACAGAAAAGAATGAAGCGTTACCTGGTCCTGCATCTTTAGAATCGGTTTGAATTACCACGCGCCCTAGGAATTCCACTCTTGGGTATTTTACGTTAGAGAAAGGAAAATTTATGTTCACACATAAACCTGTGCACAAATGTTTATAGCAGCTCTGTTCGTAAGGGCTAACATCTATAAACAACACTAACGTCGTTCAGCGTGAACAAATAAATCGTAACACATCCATACAGTGGAATCCTGCTCAGAAGCACGTGTTAATAGATGCAACAACTTGAGCGAATCTCCAAGGCATCATGCTGAGGGAAAGACGCCAATGTCAAAAGTTACAAACTACATGACTCCATTTATATGACATTCAGGAAAAAGCAAAACTATCGGGATGGAAAGTAGATCACGGTTGCCAGGGGTTGGGGTGCGGGAGGGATGTGTTTCTAAAGGGATAGCAAGAGGGAGTTTTTTGGGTGATGGAACTGTCTTTTATCCTGATTTTGGTGATGGTTACACAAATCCATACATATGTTAAAATTCATATAACTGTATATCCCCAAAAAGTCAATTTTGCTTTATGATAATCTAAAAAATAAAATTACTTTTAAAATTCACAAGCCTTTTCCAGAATCTTAATCATCGAAATAATCACTATTTGGACATTCATTTCATGACTATGTGTTCTGAAGATCCCCCAAATGAAGGCTTGTATAGATAATGAATGCATCCAGTTTTAAAAATGATTGTTGTTGTTAGGAGCCTTCGAACCAGTTCGGGCTCACAGCAACCCTATGTATGATGGAACGAAACACTGCCTGGTCCTGCGCCATCCTCACAATCGTTGTTATGCTTGAGCCCATTGTTGCAGCCACTGTGTCAATCCATCTCGTTGAGGGTCTTCCTCTTTTTCGCTGGCCCTCTACTTTACTGAGCATGATGGCCTTCTCCAGGGACTGATCCCTCCTGACAACATGTCCAAAGTATGTGAGACCCAGTCTCACCATCCTTGCTTCTAATGAGCATTCTGGCTGTACTTCTTCCAGGACAGATAATATTAAATGCAATCGTTATTTGTTTGTTTTTTTGTTATTTTCATTGTTTGTCTTTTTTTTTTTTTTTCTTTTTGTAAACAGATTCATTTTGGAACTCAGCTTCTTTCAATACTGAAACGTCATACCTTCATTTCCCCACATTCCATGGGGAACTTAGTGCTGAGGTGTCTTTCTTTTTTAAGACAACAGCTTCCTCTGGAGTGTTTGTAGAGAACCTGGGAATCTCAGACTTTATCAGGCTGGAGCTTCGAGGTGAGTTACCCACTCTGGACAAAGCTGGGTACCCGTTTCTTTGCCATTGAGTCCATTCCAACTCAAAGCTATGTTCAGAGCACTTGAAAATTAACAGTAATCCCTTCAGTTTATTTACCAGTTACCATGGAGTCGACTCCAACTCATAACGACTCTTTGTGCGTCAGAGTAGAACTGTGCTCCAGAGGGTTTTCAGTGGCTGATTTTTTAGGTGCCGATCACCAGGCCTTTCTTCTGAGACGCTTCTGAGTGGATTTGAACCTTCAGCTTTTCAGTTAGCAGAGGAGCATGTTAACCATTTGCACCAGCCAGGAACTCCTTAGCTAATTTAATTCCTGCTATATTGCCAGGCTTCTTTACCAGTTGTACTTCTTTATTAAATACTGAAAGTGCTGTAACTCTATTCTTTATTAAATACTAAAATTGTATGATTTAAATAATCAGTATTTTAAAACTAAAGAGAAAAACAGTGATTCATATAAAGAAACCTAACAGGTTATCTGGCTTTTTATCATTACATGCATAAGTGATTTTATTTTAAGATGCGTTAAAGCTTCATAAAAATTTAGAAGTACAGTGTGGAATTTTGATAGTAAGAAAGTAGGTTTTGGATAGACAAAGAAACGATATGACTAGAAAACTCCAGCAAATAATTTTGTAATTTAGTAAACAGTTTAGTTATTTGACCACTTAACACCCTGAGTGGGCACAGAGCTAACACGGTACAACATTATCATTGATAGCTGTGTCTCACGAATCGTTGTTTTAGTTAAGGCTTAGCAAGAAGAATAGTCCACTCAGGATGAAGATGTTAAAATCAGTTTTGATTTCTTTCCCTCCAGGATACACACTTATTTTGCCCTCCTAGCCAACTCAGAGTAACAGTTACCACCATCCCTGTCAGAATGAGCATGTCATATTGTTTTTCTCACAGCTACTCAAGACTCACCTCTCTCCCTGTGAATTAACTCAAGAAACTCTCATATCTAATATTTCCAGCTCCTGCAGAAGTGACCTTTTCCTTTGATGTGGGGAATGGACCCTGTGAGGTCACGGTGCAGTCACCCACGCCTTTCAATGACAATCGCTGGCACCACGTGAAGGCAGAGAGGAATGTTAAGGAAGCATTGCTTCAAGTGGACTGGCTCCCTCAAAAGACACAGCCTGCCCCTGCTGACGGACACATCCGCTTACAGCTCAATAGTCAGCTCTTCGTGGGTGAGTCCTTTTGGCTTATAACTAAACTGTGGGGAGAGCAGAGACGCGCCAAGAGAAACCATAACTATCAAAGCAGTGATAATAGCAATTATAAACAATGATGACTACCATTTACTATGATACTATCAGCACCATTTACTAAGAGCATCAGATTTAATGTTTCATCTCGACTTCCATAGGTATTATGTTCCCAATATACAGATGAGATAATAGAGGCTCAGCTCAATTGAGTGACATGACCACAGAAACCCAGCTAGAAGAGAAATCCCAAGTTTGGCCGATTAACAAGCTTGCACTCAATATTATAGATGATTTGTGTTTGTTTCAGCTACTTCTTAACAATACTATTTATAAAATAATTAGCAATTTTATCCACTTCTTCAATTTTGCCTCTCGGTGGACCTGGAAAACCCACCTTGTAATTGGAGCAGATGGCCATCGGTATCCCCTCAAAAACAGTCCTGTGGGGGATGAGATCTGAAGAAGCCACACTGTGTTATTATCAGCGCGTGCTTTCCTGATTTCCCGTAGTACCCTCCCCCCACCCAACACTCGCTCATCATATGCTTCATGTATAACCAGATCTTACCCCTTTATTCTCGAAGTCCAACCATTTAAATACCACAGCTCTGAGTAATGAAAGTCTTCCCTTTAATTTACTGGTTTATCGTTTTATTCTTGTTTGCTTTTCCCCAAGGGGAAAAATATGTTTTGCAACATTCCTTTTCCAACAACTCTATTCTAATGTGGAAACTAAGCAGGTTAAGAAAGTAATTGATGGTCCTCTCTCGTGCATGTTAGAGTAAATAAGGACACAGTGCAATTAAAAACGGATAGAAATCACAAATGGTTGAACAGGGAAAAGTAGTTTTCCCTTTGCCGGAGGCTACCTACAGTATTCAGGGACTGACGCTTTGCAGTGAGTGCGTGTGTGTCTGTGTGTGAGTGTGTGTGCAGTCCACGGCGCCATAAAAACTCAGCCTGAAGCACAGTTACTTCTTACTGCATGAGGCTTCACCTCAAATCATCAACTGCCTGGCAGTAGGAACACCCTCCACCACCAGTTGCCATCAGTCGACCCCGACTCATGGTGACCCCACGTGTATCAGAGTAGAACTGTGCTCCATCGGATTCCAAATGGCTGATTTTTTCAAATGTAGATCACCAGGCCTTTCTTCCAAGGCACCTCTGGGTAGACACAAACTTTTCAGTTAGCATTGGAGTGTGTTAACCATTCATTTGCACCTCCAGGGACTCCAGAAACCCCCAGTCAGGTCAAAGTAAGCAATTTTATTTTCTGATTTACAATTCTGAGGATTAACTAAAGGAATTTCTAGGAACAAAGTTAGCACGAAAATGCTAGGGACAAAATTAGCATTTACATTAGGATAATTTTTCTCAACCTATGAAGCTAGTTGAAAATTCAGTCTTGGGGGACATAACCCCAGGCCCACTGGATCAGAAACCCTGGATTTGGACCCAAGAATCAGTGTTTTTCAACAAGCCAGCCCTCCAGGTGATTCTTGTGCCCCCATATTTGGGGACCACTGTCTCAGGCTCACATGAGTCGGGATGAAAATACAGAGTGGTATCCATTCTTCAGCTAGTGTTACACCACCATGTCCTCAGAGCAGCTTGGCTGCAACAAGCAAGGCCTTGATGAGACCCTCGATTTTGGTTTCCTGTCTTCTGCCTTCTCTTTTACTGCTCCCTCCTCAATTCTTTTCACAAGTTCATTACTGAGAGGTCTTCTAACTCAGAAATTTGTCTTATATTGCAGAAATTTTGAACTTTTCCATGTAGCCTTTCTAATGCACTTCACTGTTTATAAATTTCAAGTTTAAAAAGGCCATTATGTTGGTGGTCATCATTTTGTTCTTTATAATGGAAAGAATATAAGTGTTTCTAAATATAAGTTGAAATATAACTTGACCGGGCAGTGTTTCGTTTTGTGATGCATCGGGTCGCTATGAGTCGGAACCGACTTGACGGCACCTAGCAACAACAACAAATATAACTTGAAGTACTGTTGAAATATTTATCAAGATCAACTTAAAAAAATTATTTCCATGAATGTTTTATGCCATACCACCTGCTGACTTACTGTTTGAGCCACAGTTTATCTTCAGAATAACATTTGTTCATAAAACTTTTGACACATCACTCTTTTTTTAAATTTTTTTAAATTGTACTTTAGATGAAGGTTTACAGAGCAAATAAATAGTTTCTCATTAAACAGTCAGTACACATATTGTTTTATGACATTGGTTAACAACCCCACGACATGTCAACCCTCTCCCTTCTCCACCTCTTTTTTTTTTTGGTGAAAATACACATAGTCAAAGACACACCATTTCAAAAATTTCTACATGCACAGTTCAGTGACATCAATTACGTTCTTCCATTTGTGCTGCTATTCTCACTTTAGATGAAGGTTTACAGAACAAAATAGTTTCTCAACAGTTAGTACACATGTTGCCCTATGACAATGGTTAACAACCCCACTACATGTCAACACTGTCCTTACTCAACCTTGGGTTCCCTATCACTAGCTTTCCTGTCCCCTTCTGCCTTCTAGTCCTTGTCCCTGGACTGCTGTGCCTCATTAGTCCCGTTTTGTTTTATGGGGCTGTCTAATCCCTGGCTGAATGGTGACCCTCGGAAGTGACTTCACCACTGAGCTAAAAGGGTGTCTGGGGGCCACACTCTCGGGGTTTCTCCAGTCTCTTTCCGGCCAGCAAATCTGGTCTTTTTTGTGTGTGTTAGAATTTTGTTCTACATCCTTCTTCAGCTCTGTCTAGAACCCTCTGCTGTGATCCCGGTCAGAGCAGTCAGTGGTGGTAGATGGGCTCATAAAACTTTTGATACATCACTCTTCTGCCATTTTCTGTGGGGCATCGGTTCGAAGTGGAGAGAAAATGCCGAATGGGATGCCCAAGAACACAGTTCCATTCATAGCTTCTCCCTCGTAGGCGGAACGGCCACCAGACAGAGAGGATTTCTGGGCTGCATTCGGTCTCTGCAGTTGAACGGGGTGACCCAGGATCTGGAAGAAAGAGCCACAAAGACACCAGGCGTGGAGCCAGGGTGCCCGGGACACTGTAGCAGCTACGGACACTTATGTCGCAATGGAGGGAGGTGCCGAGAAAAGCGCAGGGGGGTCTCTTGTGACTGCGCCTTCTCTGCATATGCCGGGCCTTTCTGCTCAAATGGTAGGTGTGACCCAGGAGCAGGGGATACGTAACATGGGGACCTTATCCAATATGAGGTACATTTCTGGCAGTTGACCTAATAAAGACAGGATAAGACAATTCTGTGTGATTTTTTTTGAAATGGAAATCTTTTCCTGTCCCAAATTCCTCTCTTTAATTTAAGAAGAGATATGACTCTATTTTTGAGGAGCTTGTGGCTACTTCTGTTTGACTTGTTCTCAGTCCTCTCTGGATTTCTCAAAGGATCATTGGGACAATGCCCTGAGGAAAGCAATATTATAAATTATAATACATTATATATATAAATAAAATAGGCTAACTTTTGGCATATAAATATTATGTAAATATAATAAATTGTATACTTTTTCTGGAGATTTAATTTTATGTAAACCTCAGATGAAGCATTTTGGGGGCAATGATAAAGTCTCTTTTAAGTGTTATTCTAGGTTATGGGCATACGAGGGTTAGCTGTGTTTTTATTCATATATTTTTATTTTATTTTAAAATTTTTTAAACTGAAATAGAACAGCAAAATATGCCATTATTGTTTTCTATCCTAGGATATTTAAGGATAGAGCATTCTTTAAATACAGATAAAGCAAGACCGTCACGCTTACTTGTTGCTAACATGATAAAAATGTGCGTCATTCTAGAGATTTCTGCGTATTTCGGAACCGGCTCCTCGGTGATCTACAATTTTCAAGAACATTCCAATTACACCTTAAGTAGGAACTCCAGTTCCTCTGCGGCTTTATGGCATGGGGATGTGACGCTGACTGGAGAAATGATCACGCTCAGCTTCCAAACCACAGGAACGCCCAGCTTACTGCTGTATGTGAACTCCCTCTATGGAGAGTACCTTTCGGTTATCCTTGCCCAGAACGGTAAGTGTCTTTAAGGTAAGAATTCAGAAGACGGAATTAGAAAGATGGCACCATAACCACGCGGGTCCTTATAGTGTTTAAACTACAAATTAGGAAATATAATATCACGCCCTCTAACCTCATTGTGTTAGAGTTGGTTTATTTTCTATTATCCACCACCTGTCTGTCAGTCTGTCCTACTGTGCTGGCTTGTGTGTTGCTGGGATACTGGAAGCTAAGCCACTGGTATTTCAAAAACCAGCAGGGTCACCCATGGTGGACAGGTCTCCGCAGAGCTTCCAGACTAAGACAGACTAGGAAGAAAGGTTGGTGATCCACTTCCTACGATTAGGCAAAGAAAACTCTACAGATCACAACAGAATGTTTTCAAATATTGTGCTAAAGGTTGGAAGGCACTCAGAATGCACAGTGGCCACAACAATGGACTCGAGCAGACTGATGATCATGAAGGTAGCATAGGACTAGGCAGTGTTTCGTTCTGTTGTACATGGGGCCACCATACGTTGGACCCTACTCGAAGGGAACTAACAACATTTTTTATTATAGCCCAAAATGCTTTGGCAAAAGTTAGCATTCAGTGATTAAATTACAATGCCTTTCTTCTGTTACAAGGTTGGTCATTTTCTATATTTGACCCAAGGCTGTGCTTTGAATTGTTGCTAGGGAAGATCTTTGCTTTTGTACGTAAATAATCTCAGTCAGTTTTGTGGTTCATTTTGAAATAAGATATCTCGTTTTATACGTGGAAAATATGTCCTCCTCAGTCTAAGCAAAATAAAAAAGTTTTAAGATGATATTGCTTGGTTAAGTAGAGGGTCAGCGAAAAAGAGGAAGACCCTCAAGGAGATGGATTGACACAGAGGCTGCAACAATGGGCTCAAACATAACAACGATTGTGAGGATGGCGCAGGACCGGGCAGTGTTTCGTTGTGTTATACATAGGCCGCTGTGAGTCGGAACCAGCTTGATGGCACCTAACAACAACAAGATGATATCAGGGCCAGTGGTGGTTCAAAGGTATAATCCTTGCCTTCTATGTGGGAGATTTGGGTTCAATTTCTGGCCAGTGCACTTCCTGGCCACTACTTTTCTGTCAGTAGAGACTAGGATGTTACTACGATGCTGAACAGATTTCAGCAGAGCTTCCAGACTAAGACAGACTGGGAAGAAGGGCCTGGTGATCTACTTTGGAAAAATCCACCAGTGAAAACCGTATGGATCACAACAGTCTGATCTATAACTGATTGTTGGGATGGTACAGGACAGGGCAGTGTTTTCTTCCATTGTGCATGGGGTCGCCATGAGTTGGAACCAACTCAATGGCCGCTAACAACAGGATGATATTAATGCAGTTAAATCATATAAAGGCCAATTTCCATGTGCATCAAAGAAGTATGACTCATCAGTGGTTGAGAAGTCAGTCGTGTACTATCTATATGAAAAAGACAAATGAAATGAAGGGTACCCCTCAAAGGCCAGCAGGCTTGCCAAGACTTAAAACCAGACTTTAACCTTGCTTCATGGCGAGTGAGGGGAAAACTTAACTTCTGGAAAAACCTTCGGCAGTATCTGGCTAATAGCATTTATTGTAGGCAGTTAGAGAGTTATGGGATAGGAGGGTGCATTTGTGAAGAAGAAAAGCTGTAGACTGGGACATGTGGATATTATAGCAAACCACTTTTTTCTGTCTTTACCCTGTTTCTTGATTGTGGCAAAAACTTTAGAAAAAAGAATCTGATTGTGCAAAAATACCCCAGAACTAAGTATTTAATTATGCAAATGTCAGCAATACATTAAAATGCATGAATAGGTTGCATTAAAAGAAGTTATGCTTATAGAAACTGAATGTCAATGTAATATTGCTGGAGGCTTTACCATTTACTAATATGAATATCACATTAATAATTATAGCTCAATTCAGAGTTTTTGTATGCTTAATTTAGGCTTTTTCCCTGTGTAGTTAAGGAAAATGGAAGAACTTGGAAAAAAGTTTACTATAACTCATTTGGTCTTGACTGTAAAGTAGTGTAAAAGAACTCAGAGTTTGGCCCTGTAATAGCAAGTAAATAAGTAATCACTAAACGCTCAATAGATTCAAATTGTATTAAGTAAAAATAAAATGTGCTTTAGTACTTACAGTGATATTTTAATAAAATTCTATTTTTGTTAAAAATATTTTTTTCTCCTTTAGGAAGTTTGCAGATCAGGTATAAGCTAGACAGACATCAAGAACCTGACGTTTTTAACTTTGATTTTAAAAACATGGCTGATGGGCACCTTCACCATGTGAAGATTAACAGAGAAGAAGCAGTGGTCTTTGTAGAGGTAATGCAGTAAATTCAGCAATAGCAATAGTAATTAAAATTGTGACTCTCAGAATGTATGACCTAAAGCAAGAATGTGATGGTAAATCTTAATGACCCAGATATGTATCCAACACTGTTTGTCCCTCTTGCTAGGACATAAAATGAGGTCAATATTCTTTGTTTTGTTTTGTTTGTTTATCAATGAGACTCTGTGAACGTTATTATTAATACTTGACCATTTCAAATACCAAGGTGCCTTCATTGGTTTTCCTTTACTTGGTAGGGAAATGTCCGGTTTATCATGATGACCACGGGTGATATTCTAATGGGAATCTACTGCCATTGTGTTACAACAGAACCGATGCTACAGTAATCTAAACACAAGAGCAAAAGCAAGGTCTTGCTTAAAGTGGGAATACATTTTTAAAAAACAGCACAGTAAATATATTAAGCATTGTCACTGGTTTTTGAAGAATAACACTTATATAATGAACCTGTACAAATAATACATTTTTCTGCTTCATATTACAAATTTTCTTGTGAAATAATTACAAGCTTTGAGCTTTAAAATAGCATCTCTTTGTGGAGCATACCAGTTATAGATACTTACTCCATAAAGAAAAATAATGGGAAAGGGATAGACAGTGGAGTGGAATGGAATTGCAGACATTCTAGAAATTTTTTATGAAAGTTTTCCGCTTTCTAAATCATTGAATGTTTGAAGTTGGTTTCGTTAACCTTTGTGATAGCACTAACAAATGGTTTATTTTTATCATTTTCCTTGGTCTCCCTTTGATTCCTGTCTACTTATCATCATAATTGCTTGCTATTTTGATGTTGCTTCTCATGGAACATTTAACAGGTTAACCAGAGTGCAAAGAGACAAGTCATCCTGTCATCTGGGACAGAATTCAACGCCATCAAATCCCTTGTACTTGGGATGATTTTAGGTAAGTGGAAGAAAGAGTGTTTCTCCCTGTGTTGGTTAAGCTTGTGTGTCAGCTGGGCTGGGCCATGACTCTCAGGGGTTTGGCAGTTACATAATGATGTAGTTTGGCAGTTATTTACTGAGGTAATTTGACAGTTATGAAATGATGTAGTTATCCTCCATTTTATGATACAATGTAATTACCTCTATGATGGGATCTGATATGATCAGCCAATCAGTTATAAGGGGCGTTTCTTTGGGGGTGTGGCCTACATCCAATATAGGTGGACATTCTGGCAAAGCTCCCTGGCTTTTGCTCACTCTGGATCCAGCATGCGGCTTGTCATCTTCTGACCTCTGGTTCTTGGGACTTGAGCCAGTGGCTTGCCATCTTACCTACTGATTTTGGATTTGTCAGCCTTGGTAGCACATGAGCCAGTAGCCTGCCGTCTGACCTGCTGATCTTGGAATCATCAGCTGCTGCAGCTATGTGAGTCAGGAGAAGCCTCCATCCTGATGCCTGACTCCTACAAACTTGGGACATGCCACCCTCTACAACCGCGTGAGCCATTTCCAATGAAACATATGCTTCATAAGTTTTGCTTCTTTAGAGAACCCAGCCTAAGACATTTGGTACTAAGAGTGGTTCTTGAAAAGACATTTGATACTCAAAAAGCTGCTAGTTTTGAGTGGGCCCAGAACAAAGAAGGCTCTGCAACAGGGTCAGGCTGCTGTGCAAGTAACTCTGCCACTTGGGCCATACGATCCAGCTGACCCAATGGTGCTTGAAGTGTCAGTGGAAGATAGAGATGCTGTTTGGAGTCTTTGGCAGGCCCCTATTGGTGAATCACAGTGCAGATCCTTAGGATTTTGGAGTAAAGCCCTTCCATCCTCTGTAGATAACTACTCTCCTTTTGAGAGATAGCTTTTAGCTTGTTTCTGGGCCTTAGTAGAGATTGAACACTTAACCATGTGCCACCAAGTCACCATGTGGCCTGAGTTGCCCATCATGAACTGTGGGTTGTCTGACCCACAGAGCCATAAAGTTGGACCTGCACAACAGCATGAAAAAGAGACCTAAATGCCCATGGTCTCCACTCCTGTCACACTACCTGCCCTCTCCCAGTCTGCACCTTATGGCCTTATGGGGAGTTCCTTATGATCTGTTGACTGAGGAAGAGAAAACTCATGCCTGATTTACAGAAGGTTCTGCATGATATGCAGGCACCACTCGAAAGTGGACAGCGGCAGCTCTACAGCCCCTTTCTGGGACCTCCCTGAAGGACAGTGGTGAAGGGAAATCCTCCCAATGAGCAGAACTTTGAGCAGTGTACCTGGTTGTTCACTTTGCTTAGGAGGAGAAATGGCCAGTTGTGCGATTATGTACTGATTCATGGGCTGTGGCCAATGGTCAGGGACTTGGAAGGAAAATGATTGGAAAATTGGAGACAAGCACGTATGGGGAAGAGGTATGTGATAGACCTCTGTGAATGGGCCAAAGAAGTGAAGATATTTGTGTCTCATGTGAGTGCTCACCAAAGGGTGACCTCAGCAGAGGAGGATTTTAACAGTCAAGTGGTTAAGATGATGTGTTCTGTGGAAACCAGTCATCCTCTTTCCCTAGACGTTCCTGTCATTGCCCGCTGGGCTCATGAACAAAGTGGCCATGGTGGCTGGGATGGAGGTTATGCATGGGCTCAGCAGCATGGACTTCCACTCACCAAGGCTGACTTGGCCACAGCCACTGCTGAATGCCCAATCTACCAAGAGCAGAGACCAACACTGAGTCCCCGATATGGCCCTCTTTCTCAAGGTGATCAGCCAGCAACTTGGTGGCAAGTTGATTACATTGGACCACTTCCATCATGGAAAGGGCAGCATTTTATTCTTACTGGAATAGACACTTACTCTGGATACAGATTTGCCTTCCCTGCGTACAATACTTCTGCCAAAACTACCATCCTTGGACTTACAGAATGCCTTATCCACCACCATGGTATCCCACACAGCATTGCCTTGGATCAAGGGCCTGACTTCACAGCAAATAAAGTGCAACAACGTGCCCACGGTCATGGAATTCACTGGTCTTATCATGTTCCTATGAGTTGGAATTTACTCGACTGCAATGGGTATATGGGGTATACCATGTTCCCAATCATTCTGAAGCAGCTGGCTTGATAGAACTATGGAATGGCCTTCTAAAGACACAATTATGGAGCCAGGTATGTGGCAGTACCTTGCAGGGTTAGGGCAGTGTTCTCCAGGAGGCTGTATATGCTCTAAACCAGTGTGCAGTATATGATGCTGTTTCTCCTATAGCTACAATTCATGGGTCCAGGAATCAAGGGGTGGAAATGGGAGTGACACCACTCACTATTACCCCTAGTGACCCACTCATAAAATTTCTGCTCCCTGTCCCCACGACTCTATGCTCTGTGGGTGTAGAGGTCTTAGTTCCAAAGGGAGGAGTGCTCCCACCAGGAAACACAACACTGATTCCATTGAACTGGAAGTTAAGACTGCCAGCCGGCCACTTTGGACCCCTCATGCCTCTGGACCAACAGGCAAAGAATGGAGTTACTCTACTGGCCAGTGTGATTGATCTTGATTACCAAGGGGAAATGGGATTGATATGACATAATGGAGGTAAAGAGTATGTCTGGAATATAGGACATCCCTTAGGATGTCTCTTAATATTACTATGCCCTGTGTTTTGGTCCCTGCTGCTACATGAGTCAGGAGAAGCCTCCAGCTTGAAGCCTGACCCATGGACTTAGGACTTGCCAGCCTCTATAACTACATGAGCCATTTTCTTGAGATAAATCTCTCTATGTGTGTGTATATATATATATATATATATATATGCATATATGCATACACATATACATATGCATATGCACAGTGGTTAGGAGCTTGTCTACTAACCGAAAGATCAGCAGTTCAAATCCACTAGCTGCTCCTTGGAAACCCTATGTGGCAGTTCTACTCTGTCCTATAGGGTTGCTATGAGTCAGAATCAACTCACCGGCAATGGGTTTGGTTTTGGTTTTTATACACACACACACACACACACACACACGCTTCACTAATTTTGCTTCTTTAGAGAACCCAGCCTAAGACGCCCCCGTGACATGTATCAGGGGTGTCGTGTTGCAAAAACAAGAAGCATTCAGCATGCTAAAAGCAGCTCCTGGTTTTATTTATAGTTTACAGTGAGTGACGATCAAGGAGGAAACTACACTCTTGTCTGCGTCTATATCTAATCATGAGTAAGTGCTGTATCCAAGGTGATCAAGGGCATTCCTTGAAAAGTACCTGCACATTTACCTTCTTACGTGGCCATCAAGCATCATGAAACTTGGTTTTTGTCCAACAATTCAAGAAAAGCATAATCAAGGCAGACATAAAGTTCACAAATCAAATGGAGAAATCATTTAATGATTAAATTAGAATTAATTTTAAGAGAAGTAGAGTAAAAGCTATTTCCTTTCAGCAAATAAATACTCTTTGAGCTGTGGACTGGGTCCTGCTTTGCTTGTGGGTCATGGTGGAAGTGTCCATTGCTCCCAGCTAATCTGGCAAGATCACACCCTAAATATCCCATAAAAACCAGTTGTCGCCAAGTCAATTCAGACTCATGGTGACCCTATATGTGTGGAGCACAACTGCACACCACAGGGTTTTTAAGGCTCTCAGAAGCAGATCTCCAGGACTTTCTTCCAAGACATATCTAGGTGATAAACATTGAGCACTTAGCGGTTTGCACCACCCAGAAACTCCCATGGACATTCTTTATGGCTGTCAGTTATTTTGATAAACATACCAAAGTAAAAACACGCTTTACTATTTTAACATCAAACTCTACATATGCCTTTATAATCTCCTTCGTCACCAAGAATTAAATTGAAACAGGCAATAAATTTTGAAAGATATTTCTTTTCGGTCATACGTAAACTAAAAATTTCATTGATATTTAAATGGCTTTAGTAGATTTCTTATTCTATTTAAAACTCTGTGTGGTATAACCAAAACCCACTGCTATCGAGTCCATTCCAACTCCTAGCGACCCTATAGGATGGAGTTGAACTGCGCCACATGGTTTCCAAGGCTGTAAATCTTTACAGAAGCAGACTGCTACATCTTTCTCCTGTGGAGCAGCTGGTGGGTTCGAACAACTGACCCTTCAGTTAGCAGCCAAGCTTTTAACCACTCTGCCACCAGGGCTCCATATTATATATATGTGTATATATGTATATATATACACACTAATTGGACCCTGGTAGTGCACTGGTTAAGAGCTCAGGCTGCTAACAAAAGGCTGGCAGTTCGAATCTATCAGCCGATCCTTGGAAACCCTATGGGGGCAGTTCTACTGTGTCCTATATAGTCGCTATGAGTTGGAATCAACTCGATGGCAAAGGGTTTTATATATATACGTATATATATTTAACGTCCAAGTGGAAAACCTTTACTCCCTGTTTATCCTCTGTTGAGTTCTACTCTCTGCCCCCAACTGAAGTGACTGTCCTTTGTTTGAACAGAATGAGCCACTGATCATCTTAGCCGTGCCCAAGTCCTCAGAGCTGTCCTTCTGTAGATTAGATCCCAGGAATGAGTGGAGTGATGGTTCTTACCTGCCCCAGTGGGTGGATCTCTTTTCAATGCACTCTTTTCCCAGCCACTAGGACAAAATAAAACAAACTACACACACACACACACACACACACACACACACACACACACACACGATTTCCTGCCCTCAGTGACTCCAGCGTCTAACAGGAGACTTGATGCATGTTCATAAGTATCTATAACACAAGGTAAAAATTTGCCACCAGTAAGTGTGATTTTGACAAAGGAATATCTTTGACCTAATTTTGCTTCAAATTTAATGTCTGAAAAGAAATATGAACGAGATTACGGAAATTGATTAAGAAAGTGAACTGCATTATATGAAGGGGATCATGTTGATCAAAAATTAGAATAATAAATTTCATTATATAAATTTTTATTTTCTTACAA